TTGACTCACCCTGAATTATTTGTGACAAACAGAATGTTTCGGCTTTCACAGGGAGCCTATGGAGAAGCTCTTATTAACAGCCAGCTGAAGTGCTTATTTGGAGCAGAGGGACTGTAGAAGCTCATGGTGTTTCCACTTCTGGGTGTGTTTTTTTCAGGCTTCTCTTCTTCATAATTCTTTCTTTCACTTGCTACCTTCTTTCTTCCTTTTTCTTAAGGAAAGCTCTTCTTTTACTGCTGGTATTTTCTATAAATTTGCCTCTTGTCCCTACTGCATAATGTCTCCCCACCAGGGAGGGAACGTATGATAATAATCCTTGGGTTTTCTCAAGTGGTCTGTTACCAGCCACAAAGTTGCAGCTGTTTAAAAAATTTAAAGCATCTCCTAAATCAGTTTCCCCCAGCCCTTAGTGTTATCCTTTAACTCGGATTTGGGGCTTTTAATAGGAAACCTGTCGAGAGTCGTAGAGGTTCTGATGAAGAATTGTATACATGACCTTAAGAACTCGGAGGTGCAGCGCACAGTGCATTGAAGGCAGTAGGAGGCTTTCCACCGGCTTTGGCTCAGGCTTTTAAAGAATAACAGGAAACACTGGAAAACGCACCAAGGGTAAACAGAGCAGTTTAGTTACATTAACTGTCTAGAGGAGAAGCTCCACTAATGACAGAAACAAACAAAGCAAGTGCATTTATTTGGCATTGCTGTGGGCAAACAAATGGCTGTTAATTGCGTGTAGCTAAAAAGGGTTGCAGAAGGAATTGGCCGGCGCAGGCCCAGAGTGCAGTTCTGGCGTCCTGGCCCAGTTCTGATTGCTGCGTAGACTCCGGCAGGGAATAGTGTCCTGGAAAGGAGCACAGACTTCAGAGAAGCCACGGCTTTGAGAGACTGCATACTATTTTTTGTTCATAGCAATGCTACTTTAAAGTCTTGTTCTACAAAAAGCAGCATCAAAGAGATCTGTTGATGCTGCTCCCTGTGACTCCTGATAAAATTTGCCTTGCTGTGATTATGTTAACGGTCAGAACTCAAACGGGTCAGTCAGCTTGCTTCTGAACTCTCATGTGATGAGCTGCAATAAATATGCTGCAGGACTCCTTCGGTGTTGCCTTAGTGTCTTTGACTGATAACCAATGCATTATTTGTATTAGAAAAGAAGCTGGAGTGTGAAACCAGCGTCCCGTTGTGCTGACTCTGAATAAACACAGAAGGAGAGTTTAAGGGCTGACAGTCCAAGCTGTTCTTGCTTGCCTTTGTGGAATCTCGTTGTCTTCAGGAGGAGAATGTGATGAACCGAAGGCTGAATTTTACGCTGTGCTTAGAGTAGAGCTGGTGACTGTGGTGGTAACGGCACAAATCAAGTCCTTCTCATCTGTAATGGCTCTGCTGGCTTTGTGGTGTGAAAGATAACGTGCAGCATGTGTTTGGTGCGCCTGATAAAATGGGCAGTTATGACTCAGAGAGCACAGAGGGCAGTGGGTTTGCAGGGTAATGTGGTGCCGTTTTGACATTCCTACTTCTAAGCCCAGAGCCGTTCTTATCAGCTCTTTTTTCAAGATCTGTTCATGTAAGAATAGAACTCCTTCCCATGGCAGAATATTTCAAGAGACTGATTATCTGCTTCTAATTCCATGCAGACTTCTGAATAGCAGGTAAGATTAGATGATCACAAAGAAAAAGCAAAGTACTGAATCAGCGCTTGCAGTGCTGTTCAGTACAAATGCATAATGCTCTGTCCTGTTTCTGTTAAAAGGAGGGGGACTATTCATTAGTGAAAAGAATCAGCATGGCATTACATTTACTATGTGTTTAGGAAAAACTGATCCCTTTGATGTAGCTGGGGACCCTTGAACTTCAGAAAAGAATGTGTTAGCATGCTAGGGTATGCCTTAGTCCTGCAGGTCATTTAATCCTTTCCTCAAGTGAGTCATTGTAAGGTAAAGTCGATGCTGGGAAAAGTTCTGTACTGCCAATTAAAACAGGCTGCAAAGGTGTTGCTGGTTTCATTCTACCAGAAACTCATCACAGAGAGGCCAGCAGAGGTTGCCTGTGTACCTCGAGGCCAGATCCCAAGGTAATATAACTGGCATGGTTCTTTTGACTTAGCAGAGCTCCTTTGCTTTATATCAATAGCTCAGGCTCAATTATTTTATGCTTGTGACTTTTTAAAGAATTTCTGTTAAGAAATCAGGAGTGATTCAGAAAGGTGTCAATTCCCACACATGTAAGAATTGAACAAATTTCAGAAGAAGCCTGTAAATAGCTCTGAGATGTGAGTTCTGTCTGTGTCTTTGTAGAGAATGCATTCTGCCTCAAACACCCCTGCAAAATCAAAGCTGAGTAATGAATGTTAGCCTCAGCATTTCTCCTAGGCAGACGTCTTTCGTGAGGTCAGGTTTAAAATAAAGTTAAGGATAGGAATGTACCAATTAGCAACTGTTGCCTTTGTTGTTTGCCAGCAAAAAAAAAATCCCACTTTCAGCAAATTTAACAAAGGATGAATTAAGTTAATCAGAAAGCTAAGGCATTTCTTAATTAACGACTCTAGACCAAACATTAGTCTTTTGTGGAAGAGATAAAATCAGGGAGCCTAAACCACTTGGAAAGTCAGGAAGGTGGTTTGTTTTCACCCTTTTTGAAGTGGAACAGCTGAGGTGCCGACCGGGAGGCTGTTCAGGAAGCTGCCAGAATGGGAGTGCTGCCAAGTCCCATCTCACAGAAGCCCTGACAGAGCAGAAACCTGGAGGACCCAAGTTTGAGTCTCAGCACTGTGGCAATCACAAGGCAGGCAAGCTGAAAGAAACCTTGGAAACTGGCCTCCTTTCCATTAGAAGAGTTAACGCAATTGCTGCATGCCCACAGGCCTTCCAAACTGGCATTTTTGGGCAAACTTTCCTCTGGAAGATGTCCAGCAAGCTTACATACCTTGCTTCATGGTACTTAGCTCGCTCTCTCCTGACTTTTAGGAATACGAACTTTAGATGGGCTTATTTGCATTGGAGGAGTACTGCTGGAACTTTCTTCCTAACATGTAAAGAGTTTTCTCTGTGTATAGAATCAACATGGGTAAAATATTTGGAGTGAAATCCAGGCTCCATTGAAGTCAATGGCAAAACTCCCATTCACTTCAGTGGAGCAGGAATTTCACTCTTTACTGTTTTGAAGTTAGAGTTACTAATAGACTGTTAAATTATTCCTGCGTGCATCAAACAAAATGTACTTGATGTTAATGTTTCTGCTGTGTTCAAAACCCACAAAGGTTTAAAAAGAAGAATAACTATGGACTTCTGAGTCTAAAAATTACCTTGAATGTAGTTTTGCTAGAAATAATAATGTCCCTGGAGATAAACCTAAAATAATAGACTCCACCATATAATCTTCACTTTAAGCTAAAAATAGCAGAGATGGCGGTTTAATCTAAGCCATAATTATCAAACTGCTGAAGCTGGTTTTGGTTCATTGCAACTAGAAACGTATGTCGTGTTTAGGCTTTGAACAGTCGAGTCCCAAAGCTGGAGAGAAGCAAAGCCAGGAGCATAGTCAGGAATCAAACAGGAGCCTCTGATTTGT